ACAAAATACTCTAAAATCTAAAACAATTTATAATGCTCCTAAATTTCACCCGAAGTATGTTGACAGAAGAAAATATTCTTTTAATGTTAATGAGAAAACAATCATTTGCATTCTGAAATCACCTCAAGTTAAATTTTAAACATAAAGCAGAGCATTTCACTTCTACGTAGTTAAAATATTTTGCAAAAATTTTCTAATCAAACTCAAAATTCAGTGTTTTCTATTCCATAGTGCTATTGAAGTTACAGCTGTTATTCACTTGGTCTATTTAATTTTTATGTATAACAGTTGCAGTGCCAGTTGAATCATCAGCAAGTCATCTGAGTTTTCAGATGATGCATTGTTTCTGGAGATCTCAAGAATCTTAATGCCTGGTGGATCAGTGCTGGTGTACCTGACTTCTCAGTCTATTCCCTTGCGAGAGGTAAGCTACCCATTGGTTCCAATTTGCACTCCGTTGATTATACTTCTTGACTGTTCATTCATCTTTTGCAAATTCTGAATTAGTAAATGATTGCTCATGATGATTACTTTTAAAGTCTAGGAATTCTTCCTGGAGTTATCCATGTTTTTTGGATTCACTATCGTACTCTTTGCCTGCTTTTCACTTGAAAATGGGTATTATGTAGCTTACCAGCTTTTCTGTTTTTTTATGACCTTCACTATCTTTTTTGCTGTTAGAGCTTAGAAAAGTACGTGTGTGAATTCTCCAACTTTTCTTAAAATGTTCACTGTTTTTCTCATAGTTATTTATTTGCTGAGCAATTTATTACACTGAATTTTGAAATTGAAAGAGAATCCATAGAATACCTAATCATAAACATTGAGAAGCACTGCCGTTTCCTCAAATCTTCAAAATTCTTGTACACTTTCTTATTCTTCTCTCCTTTGCTTTTCAAATATTCCTTCTGCTAATGCTTTGTGTGTGCATCGTTCACCAACATATCTCCCACACTTTATGTTCATGAAGTCTTTTATGAGTAAAATTTCAAATTTTACATTCTTTTCTTGAGAGTTTCTTTGGTGTGTCAAAAATATACTTTGGTGCTAAGGAGTTTTTGCAGAAGAGGTCCAAAGCGTGATAAATTGGTCCTGGAGGCTAGGGAGAACGCCCCATGCATTGGGGGACCGCCTGAGGATGCCTCTATCTCCCTCTGCTCCCCAGGGGCGTTTTTCCTGTGCCTGATACTAGGGCGTGCACCTCTGAGAACACTTTTAGTACAATACTGGAATTATCTTTTACATGAGCATTAGCTTTTCTTAAGATGTTAAGATGTTTTTTGGCTGGCAGAAAATCAATATAACTTCCCAATGCGTGAGAAAAAGAAGTGGACACTTACTGGGGTGTTTTTGGCAGGTTACTTTATCTCAGAACTTTCTTGCAGCTGACATTTAAATGTCAAGAAATTGAGGCTGGACATCATGTTGTTACGGCGCATCTCTCCAATGCTTAGATGTTGATAGCTCTGCGGTTACCTTTTGTTGAGGCTAATTTTTGTATATGTTGTTGAAACGATAGAGAGAGATTAAGCCTTGGGGTGGCTTGTTTGGGCAATTTATTCATAGTTCTGGTGATGCGACATTTTGCTAGAAAACCCAAAGAATACTTCTACCAGAGTACCTTTTAAGTTTTTTTTAATAGTATTCTTTGGCTTCATTTAATTCTGCAATTGTTTCGAATTCTTTGGCATTGACATCTTTGTAATCTGCTTGGGCTTGAACAAATTGAAAAAAATTATTTCTTCTGAGTTTGCTAACATAAATTAACATTCTATTACTTAAAATTCACTAATGTGGTGCATAGATATTAGAGGTCTTAGATTGAAATGCCACTGAGTGTGAGTATGTTCTTCTTGTATGTTATTTTTGAATTATTAGATGTGACTGATGCTATTAGGGGTGCAAATGAACGAGTCAAGTGGAGCTAAGGCTGTGGATTACTCAAACTTAAGCTAAAATATTTGAGCTCTCAAATTCAAATGTGACTAGATCTGGTTCAATTGAATTCAACCAAGCTTAGGTAATATAGATTAATGTTTTATATAATTTTAGGCAAGGGTTATAATCAACATTTCACACATAAAAAATATTCTACATATATAAAGCGTGATGAGCTTTTGAGTATAATTTTTTCCATCCCTCTTCTTGCTTTTAGAGCAAAATCCTTGAGGAGCTCTCGAGCCTAGCATATAGAGTTTGAGCTTGAACTTGTTGACATATTCGAGCTTTACAAATTTGGCTCATATGTGGTCAATGCGAGTTAGAGTTTGAATTTTAATTGCACAACTTGGTGGTAGCTTGATTGAACTCGATTCTCTTTTAATTGCAGTGTTGTTGAGTTATAATTCGCATATGTACTGATCCGATCAATGGACTTAATTATAATCATCTATAAAGAGGAATAAAAATAGTGTGACATGAGAAATATATATTTCCTCATTTTCCTATCAGAGATAATTATACTCAGTTAAGTAATGTTTGTGATCCATAATTGTTCTTTTTTTTTTCCTTTCAGATGACGTGTGGCTACAAGCATTACATTGTTACTTGAAAAAATAATCTTAGGTTTTGTTGGCTAAAATCATTTATGCAAGTGATAAATTACTTGAAACTATCATTAAACAGAACAAGTAATATTTCGTGAAATCACCCAAATCAAATAACATGACTTAATCCTTATTGTTTCTTTTTTTTTTTTTTTGCTTCGAGATGACATGCGGCTACAAGCATTAGCCTGTTGTTTCAAAAAATAAACTCAGGTTGTTGGCTAAAATCTTATCAAAGTGACAAGATAGTTGAAACTATGATTAGTCGGAATATTCAGTGTAGACAAGTATGAATGAAAAATCTCCAATAGTCTCTTACTCTTCCAAAATCTCCAATTTTCGCCTAAGGTAAATGATGCTGCCATTGTTCCAATTTTATTTCACAGCAATTTTGTAAAGATGACAAAAATACTCCTTTCAATTTCAAGTCTAAGTTACAAATAAACTAGAGAAGGATAACTTTGACATTAAAAAAAAAAAAAACTTTGACATAACAATATAAAATCTGGAAGTTGAACCTCCAGCAATGCGGGCAGCAACACTCCTCTTTGATGCATTGTTGAAATTTGAAATTTAGCGGGGGAGTTGTCTTGGTATTGGGAATTAGTTGGAAGTGGGGAAGTTGTCTCTCTTTGGGAAAATTTGTAATGTTAATTCCATAATACAAGTATAGAGATTTGTTTCAAATTAACTTCAATTCTAAGCATGTAAATGCTATATCTATATTTATCTATATATAAAAAGAAAAACGAAGAAACAAAAGGAAAAAGAACAACAATCCTTCAAAGAATAATCAGAAAGTTCTATACCTTATACATATAGTGGAAGTTAATAATTGCATTTTCATGCTTGAAATAACATTTCATTTGAACTTTTTAATCAATTATCTTTACCTTTCATTCTTATTGTATTTTATTAAATATTGAGTGGTTCGGATAGGAAAGGAAGATGGGGGAGTGCAATTACCAATTATTGGGGTATTAAAACGAGATCTGTTGCATAAATTATGGAAATAATAGATTAACAAAAGACACCACCAAAAAACTAGTGTGATCTGCAAGTTGACTAATTACTTTATTTGAACTTCCAAGTAATTCATAAATATATAAGTAAAAATCAGTTACAAAAACACAGAAAGTGTTATTCTTCATCATCAATCGATTCCCTTTCGAAAGCACAATCTGGGCAGAGATAAAATCTGCACGATTCGCATTCGAAAGCTGGTTTCCAATCCAACCTCTTGTTGTCGCAGCTCCCACAAAAGGATTTGTATTTTGCTTCGGGAACATGAGTGAGAGGATGAGAATGATTATTCACATTCAGGGAGCGTCCATATTTCACACGTCCGAACTCCCCAATTTGGGGAACGCACCATGGATGCAATGAGTAGTCGCATTCACGGCAGTGATACATCCAACAATTTGGGTTGAGTTCTGTTTCACAAAGCACACAGTAGAATTCCTCAGGATGCTCGAAATACGGAGGATATATCAGGAGAAGCGGGTGCTTGTCCCATCTCTGTGTGGTTGCAGCAGGCAGCAGAGCACAGTCATAGCACACATAGAAATAGCAATCCTCACAAGCAAACCCAAAACCACCTCTTATATACAGTGGCATGCCGTGCAACTAGAGGTGTCAAAATGGGTGACTTGGGCGGGTTTGGGTTGGGTAAAATGGGTAATGGGTATAAGTGAGTCAACTCATTTATACCCATTTAATTAGATGGGTATAAATGGGTAAGTCAAAAAATGAATTGGGTAACCCAATTACCCATTTATAACTCATTTATTTTAACTTTTTGCAAACTCATTTAAATTCATTTTTGCAAACTAAGTTATCAATTTATACCACTCTTTGTACCCATCATTAGTTTTAAATATTTACTTATAATGTTCAATAAACTTAATTACCAATTTTTTCATTTATACTCTATGTCACAAAATTACTTATTATTTAATAATTGAATAATACGAATATAAAAATTTGAATTAAGTACTATAAAAATTAATATAAAAACTTAATCCAAAAATTTTGAACCCCTAACATTTTTTCATATATAAATTTAAAATTTCATTTTATAACGATAAGAAAATAGGCTAAAATTTATCATAAATTGGTAATGCTAAAAAATGAGCAAGTTAACAAACTAAGAAAAAATAAAATAATAAGATAAAACCAAATAATAAGATAATTAATAATAATAATAATTAATAACATCATGACAAAATGAAAAATTTGAAAAAAAAAAAAGGTAGGGGAAAAGGAGAGACTTGGGGGGAAGAGAATTTTAAATGGGTTAATTGGGTTTGATGGGTTACCCAATAATACCCATTTAATAAATGGGTATTATTGGATAACCCATTTATACCCATATACAAAAATTTAAGATACTCATACCCATCTATTCATGGGCGGGTATGGGTAAATTTAGTTAAATGAGTTGATTTGCCACCTCTACGTGCAACGTATGGGATCTGAACTTTGAAATTGAGTCAAGAGGTGCTTCTTGTGACCATCGTGTTTGACACTGCTCGTCATCATGCTAGCACTCGCACACTTGATACAAATGCTTAGTCCACAAGGTTTGCATTTATAATAGGCAGCATTGGTCCAACAGCATTTAAAAATACCAACTGCACTCTGATTATACATCAAGGAGAATGGGTGCTGGGGATGCTTTGGAATGTGCAATTCAAGGGGGAGGTTAGAACAAGTTAAATGGAGAAAGTAACCACACTCGACACAAGCATAGTAGTGAAGATCATCAGATGAGCAAATAGGTTCAATGCACGCGTCACATACTAACAATGCTCTTGCTTCTTCCTGATCGTCACTAGTAATACTCTTTATCTCATCTAAGTTTTGTACTTTCACTAAAAGAACAAGCGGATGCTTCCTATGTGAATCCATAAATATCTTTTCTGGAATATTCGATTTGCCTGAGTCATTACTGCTACTGATCTCATCTTTCTTGAGAAGAAAACGGGCGATCAATTCTTGAGCCGCATTACTGGACGGTAGTTTCACCACATTTTGATCTTGTTCTCCTCTAGCAATCCACAAGACAAGAAATTCAGAGCATAGAATGCCAAAAGTATTTCATCATGATTATGGTACAAGTGTAAAAAACTAAATTTTTGGAGGGGGAAAAACAGAGCTAAAGAGTCAACCATTGCGTTAACAATAGCAAGCAAAACAAAGAAAAGCTCTTACGAGATAGGATATTCAATATCTTCACTTAGCTGCTCTTCATCCTTTTGAGAGATCACAACGCATGTAACATGGACGAAGTATCTACAAGGACCGCAATAATAGACCCAATCACTCGGATGTACCTTTTTCCAACAAACAGGGCAAGATTGTTCAAAACTGCGATAGTCAGACGGAAGAGAATAAGCCAGAAGGAGTGGGTGATTATGATCCTTGTGCTTCACAGTTGTTGGCCGCAAGGCGCATTTTTTGTGGATCCAAAATGGACAAATATTGCACAGATAAGATGAATCTTCATCAACCTTATAGCAAGCATTACACAAGAAAGCCGCAGGTCTTTTTAGCTGTATAAGAGGGTGGTCATTACAATCGAGCTTAATTTCCCGCTGATCCAAAATAGCACACGACACATCAAGATCAAAATCGCAGGAGAAACAGTAGTAGGTGAAAAACTTCCAGTCTTGCCCACACGCATCACAGATACAACTACGATTCTTATGGAGGACTAAAGCTAAAGGATGCCGGGAATGCATCGGATGCGTAATTTGTGGCGGAAGTTCTGCAGATCTTTTGTGAAGGAAGAAATCACAGAAGAAGCAGCAGTATGCTGCAGGATCCAAGATTTGCTGCTGACACCCATAACAGACTATTGACTTTTGATCAGCACTGCCGCCATCGTTTTCCTTCTGCAATTCATGCAGGATCAGAGGGTGTTCCTTATGACTGAAATGGTTAAGTTGTTTTTCTTCCATTCCTCTGATAACTGCTAGGATCTTGAGTCTGGTATGGTTCCTCCGCCTATCTCTCTCCAGCTGTGATGATCTTGTGTGTTTGCTTGAATCAATGATTCACATAGCAATGGGTGGGCCGTAAAAAATTCCTTCCAATCTTCAATTAAATAATTAAAAAAAAGAGACTGAAATATTAGGCTGCATGCCTTTTTAAAAAAAAGGAAAAAAAAAAAAGGCAACCAAATGAATCTTATCCAAAACAAAATGAAATTTTTTTTGTATATTTTCATTTCACCCACAAAAAAGCAACATCTATCAAAACTATTTCCCAGTTACAACTGACAACCTTTTGTCTGTCATGGACATATATAGGAGGAGCAATTGCACTCAGCAGCATTTCTTTTTCGTTAAGAATATGATGAGTCGGATTAAGGAATCATCTCAACTTAAAATCACAACGTGCTTTAAATTTAGGGATAATTTCAGAAACCTCCCCTGAGGTTTCTAATAATTTCACTTGGCTTCCCTAAGGTTTTAAAAATACACATACCTCCGTTATCTATTTAAAATGACAATACTAATCTTAATATTTTTAATAAAACTCTCTTGTTGCCATGTTTATGCAAAAGATGAATTTTATAATTTTTGTTTTTACCATTTTCCTTCTTATTCATTTCTCTTATAGTATTTCATTAGAAGTATAGAAGAACTATCAATATTGTCCCTAATATCTATTCAAATTAAACGTTAAACTAGTAATATTTTTTTGATAACTTTTAATAGCCTCCAATTTTTTTGTAGCTCTTTTTTTGGGCATCAAAGTCAAGGATAAGTCAACAATGATTAAAAACAAATGGCCCGAAATTATTACCAAATTATGATAGTTCCACCACTAAACTAGTCCCAAAACTTTTATTAAAAAATAGGCCATAAACTATAAAAGAAACAAAATAGCACTTTCTTCTCTATCTTAAAAAGAATTTATATTCCCAATAAAGTACTATGAAAAATACCCTATTGTAGCAAAAGATTTATTGTTATAGTTGATTATTAAATAACAAATATTAGTATGAAATACTTGATACTTTTTTTTGTTGAGAAGAACAAATTGAACTTTGTAAGATGAGGGCATTTTAGTATATTCATTAAATTTTTTACTCTATTTTAAAGTTTGTTTATCAAAGTGTCAAATCAAGAGAGGTAAGTGTAATTTTTAAAATATCAAGGGAAATAATAAGAAACCTCAAGGGTGGTTTCTGAAATATCCTTAAATTTAATTAGCTTCTTTGAAAATATTGAAAGGAAACGGAAAAAAAGGGATAAAAAAAAGGCAGTATGTGTTTTAGCATATGTGCATATATGATGATGGGTTAGGAGCAAAGCAACTTCTAGCGTAACAATAATATTTTTGAATTATATTACAGCCAATACAGCTATATATTTATGTTTACAAATTATACGGCTTAAAGTGAAGGAGTTTCGGACCAGTTTGGATTACTATTTTTAAGAGTTTCTATAGAAACATATACCGTAACGATTTGATATATGTGGAATAAAAAACTAATTAAAAAATTTATCAATAAAAAATGTAAAAATTTTAATGCACCAAATCACAATCCAAACAAGGTTATGAAATTTAATGACTATAAAATTACTCCACATATCAGTTCTTTTCTGTGATTGTTAAAGTTATCCAAGTAATACAAAATTGAAGCTTTATTTTCGAAATGAATTATGTTGCAGGAAATTTGCTGCTAAATTTGACAAGCTACTTTTTAAGACGGTTTAGCTCCATTTCATTGACTGTTTTGATCTTTTCTGTATTGTCCGGCGGATAGATTTTTTTTTATTTTTTATTTGAGGGAGTCTAGCCGATGGATTTGATGCAAGAGCAAATTCAAGGACCGGAGAGGTCAAGCATATAATAGAAGTAGACAAATAGTGGAAAAAGTAGTTGCCTTTGATAAAGTGGCTTTTAAATTCATCCGAAGTCTCGAGACTTGCAACAAATATCCACCGTCCTTTATTTTCACACCCATTTGGACAAAATTCCCATGCTTTACATTCTTGACCTTCTCTAACAGAAGTTAGAAATTCGGCTTTTATAAACTTAGATTCCAGAAGAAACTTCAAAAGCTGACAATTTTTTGAGATCCTCCCAACAACTTATAAACCCAAACCCAACCCCCCCAAAATCGATGTGGGATGGCAATCTCACAAGGGTAAGCCAGTAGGCCCGCTGCTGCTAAGAAGTAAAGACTCCTCACGAAACCCAGTATAATTACCCCTGCAGGAATTTGCCTCTTGACCTTTTCTAACGGAAGTTAGAAATTCGACTTTTATAAACTTAGATCTCAAAAGAAACCTCAAAAGTTGGCAACTTCTGAGATTCTCCCAGAGACTTATAAACCCAAACCCACCCCCAGAACCGATGTGGAATAGCAACCCACAAGGGCACCCTTGCTTTACATTCTGACAACTTCTTTTGTATCTATGTTAGACTTTTCTCAATCAATTTCTTTTTTCTTTTCAAGAAGAGACTTTTAAGAAAAATTTAAAGTCCACGGAGACCATGTGACATAAGAGGTTGCTAAGACAATTTTAGAGTCCTAATTTTATTTTTCTTTACTTTAAATTCCTGGAGACCATTTGAAATAAGAGACGGTTAAGACAATTTTAAATAGAGTTCTAATTTCATTTTTCTTTTCAAGAAGAGACTGTTAAGACAACTTAGTGGAGAGCATGCGAGATTTGCTCTGACAACTCTAGAGTCATTAGGACAGCTTTAGATAGAGTCCTAATTTCATTTTCCTTTTCAAGAAAAGTCTGTTAACACAACTTTAGAGTTCTAGGAGACCATGCAAATATAGAGTACTAATTTTCTTTTTCTTTTTTTTTATTTTCTTTTTCTTGACCATGCAAATATAGAGTCCTACTTTCATTTTTATTATAAAACAACTTTTTCTCTTGACCATGCAAATATAAAGTCTTAATTTCATTTTTCTTTTAAAAGAGCTTTGGAGTTGCCTCTAATTTCTTTTTTTTTTTTTTTTTTTCAAGAAGAGACGTTATCATTTGCAATAGTCTGCACTCTGCACATGCTAGGCTGGCCTCTCTCTCTCTCTCTCTCTCTCTCTCTCTCACAAACACACACATAAGGGAGGGTGAGACTGAAAAAGTGGGAAGGAGCGAGGGAAATTAAAATTTAAGATTTTTATGGTTTTAAATCTCAAACCTAGCCGATAGACTAATACGGTAAAATAGCAAAACAAATTATATCTAACTTCCAATTCGAGAGAACTATGTTGAAATTTGACACCATATCTTTTTCATGAATATTTCTATCACTTGTTGTGTGCTTTCTTAACAGGGATAATTTTAGAAACCTCTCTTGAGGTTTCTAACCATATCATTGGCCTTTCTTCCGTTTTCGAAAATTACACTAATATTCCTTGATATTAATTATCTTATAACATTTTGGTCCAACCGGTTATTAAAAAATAATATTAGAAGAGAAAAGATTCGACCATTACCCCTCATCTACTACATTATTAGTTAATTTAATACCAATCAACACATTAAAAAAAAGCACTCAAATTTGTTATTTATTATTAGAGATCAAATCACATGTGGCATAAAATAATAGTATATTATTATATATATTTTTCATTTATGTAAGATCCACATTTATTATCAGACATGATCATGAACAAATAATCAAAAAAATTTGCAACCGAAACATTGGCCACACGCATTGCAAGAACAACTACGAGAAGAATAAGTTGGACTAACATGTTGGGAATGCATCGGATGCCTAATTTGTCGAGGAAGCTCCGCACATTTTTTGTGGAGAAAGAAATCACAAGCAAAGCAACAGTATGCTGTGGAGTCCAAGATTTGATTTTGACACCCATAACAGACTACTGACTTTTGATCAATACTGCCGTCATCGTTTTCCTTCTGCAATTCTCAAAGGATCAGAGGGTGCTCCTCATGACTGAAATGGTTAGGATCTTGAGTTCGGTATGGTTTTTCCTCCATGTCTCTTATGACTGTAGGACCTTGAGTTCGGTATGGTTTTTGAAAGGCTTGAGGGCAAAGTAAGAAACAGAAAAAATGATTGGTTGTAAATATTTCCTTCCACATTTCCGGTATTTATACTTTTGGGCCCGCAAACCGCTTCAAAATTTTACTTTGTCCTTTGAACACTTATTTATTTATTTATTTTGCAATTGTCAATTTCATCTAAACTTATTATTCTTTACTTGAAGGTAGTAAAATGACAACTGTGGAATAACCAACTTTTGTTAGTTGCTGCTTTCTACAACCAGGAACATATGATCCCATACATGCTTTTAGTTTCTTATGATTAATTTACGCTGCCTTTGTTTAAATAAACTTGTTAAAATTTTTATATTCTCTTTTTTATTTTAGGTTCTTCTTGTGACTTGTTGAGAAAAGAGAATATGATTCGAAAAATTTTTATTGGATGAGAAAAAAGTGAGAATTTTTTAAAATAATTAGACTTGCAAGAGCTATAGTGCAAATTGTACAGAATCTATAAGGTACCAAGAAGAAATGGTGAAAGATGATTTTTTATTGCTTGAAAAAAATAAAGCTGAATGAGTGTGGACTGATATCCAATAAGGCAAATTTGGAGCAGTAGTGTAGTGAAAATCGTGAACTCATCCACCTCAGGAACTAGGGCTCTTTTTAATTGTGGAATTAAAAATTAGACCAATCAAGAAAACAAGGATCATATTATGCATTTCATTTCTTACTTGCTTTTTTTTTTATGTCTTTCAAAGTTTGTGATGTTAAAAGAAATAATGCATTTGAAATGGGAAAATCGTGCGAGTTACATTTAATTACTTTTGTACTTTTTTAGTTCCCTATTCTTAACATCACGCATTTTGGTCCCTCATGTTGACAATTTTTTTTATGGTATATTTTCCATCTCTCACTTTTAAAATAAAAATTTTGCTCCCTCACAAACCCACAGTGCACCATTTGTGCTTTGAAACTAATTTTTTATCACATTTTTTCACTTAAAATGGCTAAAAGAAACGTGTCAACATATTAAGATTATATGTGTAAAATTGAAAAATAGTCACAAAATTTACTAGTTATGCAATTTAAAGATAAAACTACAGCTAGAAACCATTCCTTAGTTTGTGTGCTTCCGATTTAGATAAAAAAATAAGAATACTCAAAAAATCAAAAATAATTTACAATGTTCCTAAATTTCAACCAAAATATTTAACAATGAGGGAAAAATATTTTATTAAGTTAATAGTATACAAAATAATATTTTGTATGCTGAAATCTCCTCAAGTCAAAATTTGGATATAAGACTGAGCATTTCACCTTTTCTAGTTAAAATATCTTGCAAAGAAAAAAACAATCACATGTGAAAATTTCCCAGCTTTTAGAATTACACTCAAGAATTTGGAAAATGAACTTAGGTACTTGAAGTACTACTTTTTGAGCTTTGATTCAAATTATGTCAAACATTTTGCAATTGTTATCAAAAATGAGTTTTGGGGCAAAATGGTGCATTTTGGACATGTCATGGACCAAATTATTATTTTAAGAGTAAGAGACGTATAAGGTACAAAACAAAATGAAAAACGTAGGGACCAAAATGTATCATTTCAAAAGCAAAGTCCACGTATGTGCTTGAGTTCCGCAAAGTGTTTCAAAATTTTACTTTGTCCATTGAAATTTTTTTTTTTTGTTGAAAATGTCAATTTCTTCCATTGACTTATAATTAATGTTCTTTGTATTGGTCATTCTCTTCATTTATGCTATCTAACTACATGTCACACGTATACCATCATCCAAGGACAAATTTTCCATTTTCTAGAAAATCATGAATATATTTAGAAGTTCAGCGCGTGAAATGACATAAAAACGAAAGGACATAAGGTCCAATTGGTAAAATAAAACTTTGAAATGATTGTGTGATACGGATTTTTTTGAGAAATAGACTGGCTTGGGCAAGAAAGGATTATGCTCCTAAGTGATGGTGTGCATCTCATTAGTATTTACTTCTGTTAAGGATGATATAGGCTAACTGACAAGCTGACCAAATTAATGCATATTTTGAAACTTAATGGATGAATCGACACAAACAAGTTCAATGGATAAAACAAAATTTTGAAATAATTGGAGACTACAAATACAATTAGTTTTGCTTTCTCAGCCTTCATTTTTTCAAGATTCATACACAAAGGTAGTTTGTTATTCTTTACTTGAAGGTAGCAAAATGACAATTTTGAAATAACCAATTTATGTTTGATGCTACTTTCTTTCCTGTGGTACCAAGCAACATATAATTTCATTTGTTCTTTTGTCTCTCTTGCCTGATTTGCATTGCCTTTATCTAATTTTTTTTTATGGCAGCCATAACAATATAACCTATATTTAGTTCCTATTCGACTTCCTATTTTTTATTTTTGTTTTTTTATCATTGTCACTATCTTCATCTCCATCTAGTTTGATAATGAAATTAGCAATCAATTTGTTATTTGACAATTTCAATTTGCGAATGCTTGTCAAAAATTGGAAACAAAAATGGGCGCAAGGAAACTATTTAATAGTAATGAAAAATTGAGAATTAGGAATAGATACCACGATATGTAAATATTGGTGGTTTGGTGTGTATGGTAATTTTATTAGTGGCAACAGTACGCATTTTATTGATAATAATAAATAAATGAGTTTGAAAGGAGAATAGATGTAGAAAGAAGAGAATAGATAGTTAAATGGGAATGACTATAGTTTGAATTATTGGTTGATAATAGATGAGAGAGATTTAATATTTGAGAGTGTTTAAATGAATTGACAATTAATGAAGGGTATTGTAGTCTTTTTATCATATCAAGGGAGGTCTCTGTAATTATGTTACCTCAAGGGAACCGAATGAAATTGTCGAAAACCACAGGGGAGGTTTCTGAAATTATCTCTTGTTTAAATTTGTTTATTCTCTCTTTAGTTTAGTTTCTTCATGTGAATTGCAGTAAAGGAGAATTTGATTGGAGAAAATTTTATCGGATGAGAAAAAGTGAGAATTATTGTAAATAATTAGACTTGTAAGGGTTGTTGTACAAATAGTGCAGAATGTACAAGGTATCAAGAAGAAGTAGTGAAAGAATACTTTTTTTCAACTGCTTGAATAAAATAAAGGTGAAGGAATATGGAGTGATATCTAACAAAGACAAATCTAAGAATAAGAACTGAGAATTGTGAAAAATAAAAATGAGAATCGTGAACTCTCACGTCAGGCTCTGGGGGTCCCTTTAATGGAAGGAATTCAAAAGACAAGGCAGTTTGTGATGTTAATAGAAATCATGCATTTGAAATAGGGAAATCGGGCAAGTTAAATTTAATTAGTTTTACACTAGTTGAGTCCCTCCTCACTACTAAGGTCATGCACCTTGGTTCCTCGTGTTTGACATTTTTTTGCCCCTCTTTTTTGGTGTTTTGCATTCTCCGCAAATAGCATAAGTTCGATCTCTCACATATCATAATTTTGAAACTTAACCACATTTTCACTTGAAATGAATAAAAGAAATACGCCAACATATTGTGATTATATGCGTAAAATAGTATAATAGTCACAAAACTTACTATTAGTGCAATTTAAAGACAAAATTATGGGTGAAACTACCTTAGCTTGCATGCTATCGATTTAGAAAAATTAATACGCTAAAATCTAAAACAATTTATAATGCTCCTAAATTTCACCCAAAGTATGTTAACAGAAGAAATATTTTTTTAATGTTAACGAGAAAAAAATCTTTTGTATGCTGAGACCACCTCAAGTCAAATGTTAAACATAAAGCTTAGCATTTCACTTCTACCTAGTTAAAATATTCTGCAAAAATTTTCTAATCGAACTAAAATTTTTTTGACATTTTAGAATTACAGACCAGGATTTTGATTGTGAAATCAGGTACCTCAACTACTAGGTAGTTTTTGTGCTTTGATTCAAATTTTGTCATAATTAGAGCTTCGCGTACGTCACTAAAAATTAGTTTTGGGTAAAATGATGTATTTTAAACATGTGAGTGTGATGGACCAAACCCATATTTTATAAGAGATTTAAATGGGCACAAAATCTTAAATATAGGGACCAAAATACATCATCTCAATAGTGAGGGACTAAAGTACAAAGTTCATGTTAGTTAAAAAGATTGGCAAACTTTTCTAAAATATTTATTTTGTGCACTGCACTGCACTGTTCTTTTTTTTTTTTTTTTATGAAATGTCAATTTCACTCATTGACCTTTATATGCTTTTTGTATTGCTCATTCCCTACATCCATCTTATCTAACTAAACGTCACATGTAAACCATTATGCATGGAAAATTTTGACAATTTTCAAATTCTCTAGAGTACGTTTAGATGTTCAGTGGTGAAATGACATAAAAGGAGATCAGTCAGAGGAAATAAACTTGGAGGAATTCTTTGAGAAATGAGCTGGCTTGGGCTAGGAGGGATTGTGCTTCTAGATGGCGGTAGATATCTCATTTGTAATTATGCCTATTGAAGATGACACGGATAAACTATCAAAATGACAAACTAGTGCACATTTTGAAATTGAATGGATGGATCGAATCATACACAAGTTCATTGGACAAACAAAATTTTGACATAATTTCGGGATTACAAATTCAGTTGATTTGGTTTTTCTAGTTTTTACATCATCTATATTCATACGTAAAGATAGCTTGTTATTCTTTACTTAAAATTAAAGGTAGCAAAATTACAACTTTAGAATGACCAATTTATGCTTGATACTGCTTTCTTTAACCAAAGTACACAGGCAACATATGATTCCTGGCATTCTTTTTGCCTCTTTAAGCTAATTTAGGTTGCCTTTATTTATTCTTTTCTTTGTCTTATTCCAACCAAATTTCCTTTGCTTGTTTATATTTGTTTATTCTTTCTTTACTCTAGTTTCTTTGTATGACTTGCTAGAAAAAAAAAGAATGTGATTGGAGACATTTCTATTGGATGAGAAAAAAGTAAGAATTTTGACCAATAATTAGCCTAGCAAGAGTTATTGCACTAATAGTACAGAATCTACAGGATACCAAGAAGTGGTGAAAGACAATTTTTTAACCGTTTGCATAAATAAAGATAAAATGATCTAACAAAGACAAATTTTTAATTGTTTGGAATTTGAAATCTATTGTGCTACTCGGATGTAAGGTGTTTGGACCCTTCACCCCATTGGTTTTAGCTTAATACGGATGGCATTTCTAGAGGGAATTCGAGAATTAGAAGTGGAGGAAATATGTTAAGGAATCCGGATGGAATTTGGTTAGCTTTTTCTACCAGGCTGAGTTACCTGTCAAGTTTACAAGTTGAATCTCACGCTCTGATTCACGGTCTGCAAGCTAGTTTTCAAATGTGAATCTCAAAGATTGAAATTGAGCTGGATTCCAATGTTCTAATGCAAATGATCTCCGATAAGTGTGGATTTGGATGGTACTTGATAAAAGTTTTGCTATTTTCTTAGAGAAGGGAATTCTGCACCAGATTTAATGGCAAGTTGGTCATATGGGTGTTGTACTGACACTGATTTCCATATTTTCCCGTGTAATTAGAAGTAAGGTTTATGTTCCCTCCATTATTTTTTTTTTTATTGAAGTTAATAAGTGCCAAGCCCCTCAACATAACAGGCATTTTTTAAAGAAGAAAAAATGAAAAATTTGTTGTAGTGCTGTAGTGATTTAACCTCTATCTAACGGAAGAAATCAAATTTTACCAGTCAAAAGACAAGGCTCATATCGAGTATTTTATTTTTTACTTGATTTTATTAGTTATGTAAATTGAAAGTTTGTGATATTAAAAGAAATAAAGCATTTGAAATTAGAAAATCATGCAAGTTTTTTGTTCTCCAGCTTTTCAAATAAGAAGTTTGGTCTCTCACGTATTTAAAATGTACCATTTTCATTTCGAAACTAATTTTCTGTCGCATTTTCACTTGAAACAGCGAAAAGAAACGTGCCAGCATATTTTGATTATATGTGTAAAACAACAATATAGTCAAAAAATTACTGTTAATGCAATTTAAAGATTAAATTATTATAGTGAAAAATTACCTAAATTGGTTTAGACAAAATAATGAAAGCACTCAAAAACTCTAAAATAATTAACAATGCTCCAAAATTTCACCAAAAATGTGTTAATAGCAAACAAAGAAATCTAGTTTGGGACAATTCCTGCCCATGTTAATAGCAAACAAAGAAATCTGATTTGGAACAGCTTGTACCATGTCAAGAATACATTCCTCTACCATTCACAGTGCAGCTAACATCTTCCCTTTAGCATTTGCTAGGAAATTATGCCATACAAATCCTGCGATGTGGTTAAAGAGCTGGCCAATCATGACACCGGGAGAGCTAGTTTGGGACAGTCCCTGATAATGGACTTCTGGAGAGGTGGCAATCTGGCACCAATGCCGACCAGCTTTGGTAAACCCCAAAGATGAACCGTATGTAAGCTTTGCAGTATGAAATTTTCAGATGTCATGCCGACAAATATAGCTTCCAAGTTGTCACAGAATCTGACCTTGAGGACCTCCAGGTTTTCTGGCATATCCGTTAGAGAACTAACATGTAAAAGCACAGAACAATCTCCAATTTCTAAAGATCTCAACAAGGGTGATTCAATCCCAATTCTTGTCAGCTTTGGTAATTCCCACAGGTGAACTTCTGCTAGATGAGGCAATTTATGCTCTTCTACATCATCTCCAAACAAAGCCACCAAATTCTCACAAAATCTGACATGAAGAATTTCAAGCATCTGCAGCAGGTGGGATGAAAAGAAAACACTCGACAGCTTTGGGCAACAATCTAGATACAAGCACTTCAGATTCTGAAAGCTCCCCAACGCAGGTTTTCACTGTATGCTCCTTAAACTCGATGCATTGAAATCCATAAAATCTCAAGTTCTATCCCCGTTCGCTACTGTCTACTAAGTCATTCATCTCTATAACGAACTCCATATTTTCACATCCCTCAATCCAACAACCTTTCAACGTCTTGATGTTGCCAGCACCTAAATCAGAAAATGATTTGAAAAACAAACTATCAAACAAGAATATATACTCAGCATTATGAAGTACAGCCTCAATGCCCTCGGAAAAAGCACTCAGATGATGAATCTCCACTAACCGCCCTTGAGATTTAGAGCAATGCCTAGTTAATAGATAGACATCTCTAAAAACCAATTCATCCTTGTGGAAGAGCATGTCCCCTGCACCATTTGCCACTTCAGAAGGATGAACAAAGAGATGGAAATGATTTGAGGTTGAGTCCAATACAGAAGGATTGCTGTCCAGAAATTCAAGAAATATGAACCGTTATAAGAAAGTAAAGATCTGCTAGTGTTTGGTACCGTTCGATCCACAATGGAGAAGGACCAATGTGATGCACTAGGCTTTTGCGTCCAGCTAGTTACCTCATTAGTGTCAGCTGCTTGGATGTCTTCCTTCATACTGGGTAAAGCAAGATGTTGCAGCTGTGTCAATCTCGGGATTCCACAAGGGAGATTTTCAACTCCAGACATGTCAAGCAGCTTGTGGTTTTTAAAGTTTTCCAATTTTGAACAGTCTCTGAGCAACAGTTTATGCAGGTTACTCAAACTTCCTACAAACGGCAGTTGCCTCAGTGCTGTTTGAGAAAGATCAAGAGTCTCAAGGTTGTGAAGTACTTCCAAGAGAGGGAGAACCTCTAATTGTCCACAGCCCCTCAAAAACAGATGCTTAAGGCTTTTGAGATTCGTTAAGGGCGGTAGCTCTTTAAGCAAGGTCTCGGAGAGGTTTAGAACCTGAAGTTTGCTCATGTGCTCTATGAAATCAGCTCCGGTAAATGATTTAACACCACTCAAATTTAGCTCCTCAAGATTTGAGAGGGAGTTGAGTTCTGGTAAGTGTACAATCTTTGTTTGAGAGAGGACAAGCCGACGAAGGCGAGGTAGATGCTCAAAAGATTTATCTTCTATCATTGTCATTGCCTTACAGTCAGATAGATCAAGCTCTTCCAGTTTGCTTGAAGCCAACCTTGGCAACTTCTCCAGATTCAGACAACATGAAAGTAACAGCTGACAGAGGTTGTGGAGAGCAGAAAGGGATGGTAGATCTTTGACTTTTGTTCCTGACAGGTTGAGAACTCGGAGATTTTCTAAACATTCAAAGAACTTTCCTTCAATTTTCACAAGATTACACGCACCTGAAAAATCAAGTATCTCTAGTTCTTCTGAAGATTCAACACAATTCATGTATTTTATCTCAGAGCAATTTTTCAAATAGAACTCACGAGGTTTACCAATGTTAAAAGGTAATGAAGGAATAGCAGTTCCAGATAAATCAAGGATCTTCAGACTTGTATTATTTTGAAATGACTTGTCCTGGAACTCCACTATGGTTGACCATGAAAGATCAAGAACTTGCAGATTAGTTAGAGACCGAATGCTGGGCACTCTATCCATGTTGCTACAACTGCTAACTGATAGATGAGTAAGCTCTCCAGTTTCATGAAAAATAGGCAAAGATTTGATCTTGGAGTTGGAAAGATTTAATGTTTGAAGTTTCGGCAATGATTTCAAGTTCTTTTCTGGAAAAGTTGGCAAGGAGGCAGCACCAGAAAGATCAATAACCATAAGGTTTTGACACTCTTTCAGGCTCTGCAACTTTGTTAAATGAGAAAACCTTTTTAGAATGAGCCAGCTGAGTTCTGTAAGGTGATAAAAAGAATCAGGCATGACTTCAATCTGAAAGTCGGAGAAGTGGAGGCTACGAAGTTTCTTCAGGTGCTGAAAAAAGTTTTTTGGCATACTTTTCACCAAGCCAGAACCAGATACTTCAAGGACAGTTAATGTCATTAGTTCTCGAATGTCATCGATCTTTTCTAAGAAATCACAGTCCCTGAGCACAAGAACATTCAGTTTTTTGAAGTTGTTGAAAGAATGAGGTAAGGATACAATTTCGAGACTGAAAAGACCCAGAATTTGCAGCTCCTGATTGCTGAGTAAGAGATTATTTGGGTTTTCCCTGCTGAGACAGTTGCCATCTAGTAAAAGTGTTAATGGTTGCTGCACTCTTTTATAACTGCCAAGTGTTCTGATCATACCATCCACCTTTGTGAGTTTTCCAATACCCTGCCAATCATTACTTTTAACAAGCACATTAGCCAACCCAGATTAGCTGTTCCTCCATAACCACGACGATGACGATAAGAAACATCTCCAGTTACTCTCACCATGTGGATGAAATCATCATTCACTTCTTTCAACATTTGACAGTCCATGAGCTGCATCAAAATGCGGTGCCCCTCCTTATAAGCCTCCTCAAGACTATTAACAGGACCAAGATATCCTTCAAGCATCCAGTATGATATCAACTCATTGTAGTGAACAGATCCATTATCACGGAAAAAATGGCTGCCCTGCCAAGAAAAGTCAACTAAAATACCATCTGACACCTTTTCATATCCACTTAAGAGCAGCTGGGTGCAGTTGTAGTTATCACCATACCATGCTTCTTCCAACGTGTGTTCCAGACCCTGCAGTTCAGAAACTTGTTGATGGTAACTTAATAGTTTTGCTAGCAAGGATACTTCACCAGGTGCAAGATCTGTTTTTGTATTGATGAACTTTGCAACTACACTTTCTACACCTGGAATTTCAAAGACTTTTGCCACAGCTCCTTGCTTTAACCACAAAATTGAGATTTCTGGAGTTAGAGGCATCATTTCAACCACTTCCGTACCTCCCTGGGTTTGGTGCCTTCCATCTTCATTTCTAGAAGTTATCAGCACCTTAAGTTTTTGCTGTCCATCTCCATCAGCAGCTGTTGTTGAATGGTTGTGGGAATTCTGCTGGATAGAGTGAAGGACTTGTTCTAAGCCTTCATCCCCTTCCCTCATTTTGTTTCCTTCATCATCCAAAATTACAAGAACCCCCTGAAGAACATTATCAGTTGAAAGTCTTGCGCGTACCTTTTCTTTCAAGCTCTCCAAGGTTTCCTCCTTACCAACATTATTCTCTACCTCTTGGATATCATAATTTTCCAGCTCCACAGAAGTGGAAAGTAGAGATAACTGATGAGCAATATGCTCATAAAGAGACGTCTCATCATGCCTAATACTCAGAGAAATCCAAAGTGTAATGTCAACTACTTTCTTTTTGACTGCCAGCAGACCAACTTTTCTTGCCATCCACGTTTTCCCACTTCCTGATTTCCCAGAGAGAACAATTGTTGACACATGTTTTTCCTTGAGAAGTTCAAGAATTTTTTCTGCCTGCAGTTCCACACTATTCTGGTCCATTGCCGCTGCAAGACCCCTGTTCGGTGGTATAAATGATTACTCATTTTAGAAAGAAAGAAAGTAATTGTAATACTATAGCATGAACTTGAAATCTGCTCAGGAATGAGACAATAATATTATCACCATCAGATCAAGTGCCTGAGCAATTGATACAAGTTATTTGTCCACCAAACACTTTGTAACATGCTAACATTTATGTGCACATTAACATAAAGTACATGCCTATTAGCTCATGAGTGTGTGTACATGAACAAAAATCAGATGCCAAGTTTGTATTTCCCCCCTTTATTTATCTGCACATGCACCTTTTGGTTATCCATCGATCTGGTATAGATATTCCCCAGTTCCTTATAAAAGTCATGGATCATGCCCGTAATCAACTTCTTAAACAGAGGAAGATTATAATGTAAAAGATAAAACTACTGATGACAAAGCAATGCAATGAATACTTTTCCACTAGCTCATGGATTCTGGATATAATTGTTAGCATAGCTAAAGCAAGGGACTTCAAGGCTCTAGGGAAAGTGGTGCAGGAGATACAAATAAGTACCACAACAAAAACTAAACTAATTCTTGTTTCAAATGACCACTATTGCCTATGTTTTAATAATGCATTAATTTAAGATTAAAGAAAGGTTACGTGATTAATGGCCATCTTTTCCAACATTAGTAATCCAATAAACTAATCCAGACCACTCTCCCTCCAATAAAAACTTTCAGATAGTCTTTATTGATGCTAAAAAAAATAAAAAAAAAGAAGAAAATAAAAAAAATAAAAAAAAAGAGAGAGAGAAAATAGAGATTCTGTCAGAATTAAATTGGGGCAAATTTTATCTCTTTCTCACCCTAGATCGGAGTAAGTTTTGAAAGAATGCTATCTCAAATGATTGCAAACCCATCATATGATCCGCTGTCAAGCCTTTCAAGCCTTAACCTTTCCTTTGCTACTCTATCCGATCCTAATCACAAGAACCAAAATTGCCGAATTTCGTCTTTTGCAGTACTTTGAAGAAAAAAAAAAAAATTCAACTAGCAAATGATGTAAATACAAACTTTTCTGAAACATGTCAGAGAAGATTGTCTCACTGATGCTACTCATTATCAGAGTATGACTGCAATGATACAGTTGGGATTAAACTTGTCTTGTCTCTGGGTGAAAACCTGAAAGGGCACCTTCTAAAAAAAAAAAAAAAAAAAAAAAAAAAAAAAAAAAAAGAGGAAAAAAAAAAGAAAAAAAAAGAAAAAAAAAGAAAGAAAAATGAAAAGGGTGGGGGTAACCTTAGTGAAAACCCGAAAGGGCGCTGAGGTAGGGTTTTGGAATACAAGAGAATCAGCAACAGAGAAGAAGATGTTGAGTTCTGAAAGCTGGTGACTATGTTGATTTGGGTCTCTTTCATACTGTTGTTCTTTTGCCGACAATAAATTCCAAAATGGATGACTACGAAAGGGTCAAATGGAGCATTTTTCCTCAGCAAAGGCCATCCTCTAAACACGAATCCAAATTTTGATCCTTGGGCCTATATTCAAAAACTCAACAATTTTGTTTTACTATTCTATTTGCTATTTCATTTATTTATTGTGTATCATTGTTTATTTCATATTAGCATTATTGCATGATGAATACTATTTTTTGCAATTGTTTATGTTTCCCATTTATTGGGTCTCATTCAAAAGACAATCCCCTATAATTTGTCCCAAAGGGGTCCTGAGATTGAGGATCTTATGGTAACAAAGTCTGGATGACTGACATTTGACGGTTACAAAGATTCTGAAGAGGTTGTCGACCGGACCTAAAGAAGCAGTTTATCGATATTGAAACTCATGTTTACACGGCTCTCAAGGCAAAGGGATCTCATGGTGGTGGCAGTGTTTTCATCACAGTTGTTTCTTTTCCTTTCTTTTCCTTTTTGCAGGAAAGGTTATGTGACATAATACTGGTTTAGTTGAGCATGATTCACACTGGGGCAAATGGTAGAAGGATTGAGCTCCAAGTTTTGCTGCACATTTTCGAAGAAAGAAAGAAAATCATAATTCCCTTTCTTTTAAAGTTCGAAAAAAAAAAATTAATCAAGAAAGTTGTAAGTCCGCCAAGTACGTTTGTCTTGTTTTATTACTACTTGAGCAACATGCATTTTAATCTTTCAGTTTGATGGTTTTGAACTTGCATTTTCATTTCTTTCAGTGTTTAATTGGGCTCGGGTCAATCCCACCAATCTGTTAAAAAAAAAAAAAAAATCAATCAAAAAGATCAATTTAAATTCCTGTTGGTGAGTCTCAGCGTCCACCGCGCACCCTTCTACCTCCCCTTCTTGACAATTTAATTTTCTGTTGGTGAGTCTCAGCGTCCAAGCGTACCCTTCTATCTCCCCTTCTTGACAATTTAATTTCCTGTTGGAGCGTAATCGCGTTCCTCCGCGCATCTTTTTCCAAAAAGATCAATTTAAATTTCTGTTGGTGAGTTTCAGCGTCCACCGCGCACCCTTCTACCTCTTTTTTTTGACAATTTAAATTCCTGTTGGTGAGTCTCAGCGTCCACCGCGCACCCTTCTACCTTCCCTTCTTGACAATTTAATTTTCTGTTGGTGAGTCTCAGCGTCCACCGCGCACCCTTCTACCTCCCCTTCTTGACAATTTCAATCATGTGGTGAGTTCAGCTCCACCGCGCAGAGGCCTTTTATCTCGGCTCCTTCTGACAATTTAAATTCCTGTGGAACGCCGTAATCGCGTCCCTCCGCGCATGCTTTTTCTAAAAAGATAAATTTTAATTTTTCTGTTGGGAGTCTCAGCGTCCACCGCGCACCTTCTACCCCCTTTCTTGGAGCGTAACCGCGTCCCTCCGCTCATCTTTTTTCTAGTTATGACAAGTTTCTTTTCCTGATTGTTTTGATTAATAATTGTGCTTTCTCATTCATTTTGTGAAGTTCTAAGAGTTCAGACTTTTTCGACTTTGCAAAGATCATAGTTGGTCAATGCACTTGTTTCATTGTGGAGGACTGTAGATTCGAACTACGTTTGACCTGATTCCCATAGTGGGATACGTAGGCAACTCTACATGGGTTCGGTCACATTTTCTGCAATATTATCGCATCATTTTGTCCAATAATTTCAGCCAAGTGTTGGCTTGTTTATTTTGGCTCGGGTACAGCTAGAAGAGATAGGTAAATAATTTGGTGTCTACGTTTTTGTCTTGAGTTTTTTTGAAACTCTAGACAAAGAGGGGCAAGCTGTAGACACCAAATTTTTGTCAATTTTTAATGTTTTCCTGAATTTTTATCTATTTAATAAGTTATCTATTATTATTATTATTATTAATGTGTAATTTTCTCATTTTTGCAGGTTTATTTTAGAAAAGAAAAAGAGAGAAAAAAAAACAACAAAACAAAAACAAACAAAAAAGGGAGAAAAGTTAAAAACAAAAAAAAAATCAAAAAATCAAAAAAATCAAAAATCAAATCAAAATCAAATTATTACTAAACTTACACATTTTCATCATTTTCTCTACCAAAACCCCTATTAACCCATTCTACACTCAACTCCCACGGGCTTTTCTTTTCATTTGGCAGAAGCCATCATTTGGAAAAAAACCAAACCCATTTGACTCCTTCTTAGCCATGAGTTTTTTGCTCTGCCAACACTCAACATTTGCAGAGGAGAAAACACGCACAAAAAGCTAATTTGGCGACCCATTTTACTCACTCGGCTCTCTCTGGAAAAATCAGACAGGCCACAAAGAAAAAAAATTCCCAACTCCCTCTCAATATACATCCCTCGGCCCTTTCTTTGACTCTCACCAGAAAACACACAAGAACAAAGCTCCCCATTTTGGCCTTCCTTAAGCTCTCAACGGACAGAAAAGGATAGACGAAGGAAACTTTGGGAGCCAGGGAGATACGCTCAAGGTGTGGAAATTGTATCAAACATTTTGGTTAAGGAACTACCACCTACATTGAGGTATTTTCTAGTTTTCTTTCTACCATATTACAATCCATGTTTCAATGTCTAGTTTCTCTTGTTTTGCTGTTTTATTATTATTATTATTATTGTTGTGGTTGCATATTAATTTTTCTTGTTTGCTGGTTTGTATTGTTGTTGTTGCATTGCTGAAATTTGGGAAAAGGCATGAACTAGATGAGGGAAAAGGAAATGATGTCTGTGAATGCATATTAATTGTTTGAAAAAATGCCAAAAAGATTTTTAGGGACTGTTTTGCCTTAATGTAGTCTTTTGTTATTGTTTTCTGGTTAGTTAAAATCATAGTTGTATTGTAGAGGTTATAAGGAGTATTGTAATATATTTTTTATGATTTTTGGTGAAAGATTTGGGTGTTTTGAAAAATAAAAACTGGACTGTATTTTTGACATTTTGGCCACTTTCAGACCATCTTTTGTAAAAACTAACTCCGAAAATGGAGTCTACTCGAAAAATCGAGTGAAGGGGTGTATTTTGAGAAATTTTGATCACCGGAAAGGTCGCCGGCGGTGGCGGTCCGGTGGCGGCGGCGCCACCGGCGGCCACCATGGCTGCCAGCTGAAGCTTCTTCGGTTAGCCGAAGAAGAAGGAAAGGAAACGTATGGGGAAGAAAAGAGAAAGAAAAGAAAGAAAAGAAAAGAAAGAAAAAAGGGGATTGGGCTAATGTTTATTTTTCGTTGGGCCAAGAGCTAGTCTTGTTAGGTTTTGGGGCTGGGCTTTGGTTGATGTTTCTTTTGGGTTTCGGTTGGGCTAGGAGGTTGGAGCCCACGTGTTTTGGCTGGGTTTGAGTGATAGAAGACGGGCTGGCCTGTGTGTTTTGGCTTGGACTTTCGGATGGGCTTAGGTAGTTTTCGGCCCAAAGAAATAAATAATGGCCCAGTGGCCTGTTTTCTTAAGAAGATCTGATAACGAATTTGCATTTTAGCCCCTGATCTTTGGAGTAGTTTCGTTTCGGCCCATAACATTTTAAATTCTTTTCAACTCGGTCCTTATAGTAATTGCACTTTGGTCCCTGATTTTTATCTTTCATTTAATTTTGACCTCTAAACTTTGAAAAATACAATTTTTG